TTTAAGTACCACATAATTTCTTACACACAGGGTTGCCTTTCAGCAGTAATGAAAGAAACTTAAGAAATATTTAAAAAAAATGCATATATGCCTTAATTTTTGAATGAAATACCATATAATGTATGTACTCTAACTAATAATATTAAAAAATGTATTAGAACCACCGTTTAATGTTATATTTGATAAAAATTAATTTTGCTACTCGGAACTCTCTGCGCATTGCCACTGAATACTTAAAATTACATCCCTGGTCCTTGTTCTTTCTGTATTGCATCGTGGTGAATTCACATTTCTCAGAAATTTGACAACAAAACAGAGTATTTTATTTTCCAATTTCTGCGATTTCTATTGTTTAATGTAAGTTTTACGTCTTTTTAGGATATGTTGAGAAGGCGCAGTTGGAAAATGAAGTTATTAGTATGAAGTAGCATCTCAGGCACATTTGGAAAATTATCACCCCTATTCTGCAACTCTTTCGTATTCGGTTTTTGCTACGAATCGTATTTTCGAACTTTCGAAATTCGTAACAATGGCATGCCTAAAAACGAACGAGTACGCTTTTTTGCGTAAATTTGTACGAAAACAATTCTGTGTCGTAGGCGAGATAAAAGACGAAAATCGATGTATGTTTTCAGGAAATATTAGTGGTGTTCATTTAAACAGATAAATTTGTCCTTTGCATATAAGTACATTTTTATCCATTGCTTTATACAAACGGGTAAAAAAGAATCTTTGTTGCCCCATATCGAGAAACTTGGGGCCGGTTTAGTTATTTGTACAATGATTTTCGGTTGTTGTGTCCAAACGCATAATCCGAATCGAAAAACTTTAACATCACATGTAATCAAAGTATTAAAATATTATTTTAAATAAATGCTTCAAATTTCCGATCATATTAATAAATTCGGTTTGCACTATGGACTTTTTTGTGAATTTCGACGTGGGTTCTGCGCAAAAATACTGCGGATGGCGTAGCAGGAGTGATGTGCACAAGAAGTGTTGTGTACCTTTGACATGCGGAAGCCCTTCTTCTCCGGCAACACAGAAAGGAGAGTTCTACTTAGTAAGGGTTATAATCCCTAAGTGCGGCGGAAGGCAGAAGCAAGTGCAACAGGTGGTGGACCTAATACTAGGTTCACATATAAGTAGATTATCCTCATTTTCGAGCTTAACACCCTAATCTTTAATTATAACAAGAGATTAGCCATATAAAATTCGTCCCTTGTTAATCTGTAATTATAAAATAATCTCAGATTTAACCGATAACTTTTCGGTGTCCATCCTAGTTTTATCGATTGTTTTTGCGAAAGAGAGGAGAAATGCCAAATGTAAAAGTAAACAAAAATGTACGCTAGCAAGTAAAAGAGGTTTGTAAAGGTATTTTTAATAAAATGTTAAGTTAAAATATATTTATATTGCTTATTATAGCAGAAAAACGTGATCACGGTGGCACAGAGAAGAAACATAACTTTTAGTTGAGATGTGAGAATAACAAGTACACCAAATTTGACGGCTAATAATCTGAGATTTGCCTGTGTAAACGGGTGATTAAAAAACGAGCTTTGATTAAGATAATATTGATATGTGAACATAGTTTAACAAAGTGCATGTATTCAATGGTATGGAAGAAGCTGTTATTGCATTAACTGGATTGAGAACCAGTTCTTCAAGCATAGGAGTAGTTCTGGCTTGTGGTTCAACAATTCAACCAGAAGCTGACATAGATGCGCCCATGGTTACTATGCCCGATAGCTCCGCGTATCTTTGCGAAATCATTCCCATAGCGCGCTCTCACTACGCTGCTATAATTGCAAATGCAATAGAATCCACCGTTTTCTTCAAAATATGTAAAATCAAACAATTTTACTATAATCAAGCACTTCATGAGTGTTTTTTTCATTCCTTTCCACTTTGTTTTCCTTCATTCAGCTGTCTTCGAAAAACAACCGATAGCTGGCAACGCTGCACATGTTTCCGCAAGGGTTGCAGCATGTGGATTTTTCGTTTTTCGTAACGTAGCTACGAATTACGAATTACGAAAATTCGGGTTCTAGAATAAGGGGGTATGCCTATAAGCAAGATGGAATTTGGGAAATTAAGTGCCTGGTTGCAGCATATCTATGTATTAAAAAAATAATAAATTAAATTAAATTGTGTTTAATAGAAATGTTATAAATCGAGTGGCGTTATTTAATATGTGCTCCAAATATTTGGCGAACTTTTTTTCGCCTTCTCGACGTGGTAAGTGACAAGATAAGATGACTGCCACCACGGCCGGAAACAAGCCCAAAGCAAAGGGAAAACTACCTTCCAGGAAGCTGCCTGCTGTCCCCGAGTCGAAGATGAAGTTAAGCAAGAAGCAGGTCAGCAAACGTGCTACCCTGATCAAGCGTAAACTAAAGCGCTGTGCTGTGATTGCACTCCGCAAGCGTGAAAACTTGGAGCATGCTGAGAAATATCAAGCAAAATATCTCCTGATGGACGCCGTGAGATGAAGTTGCGCCGTTTGGCAAAGAAACGCGGCCCATTCTACGTGCCCGCAGAATGGCTTTTATGATCTTTATCTGCGGTATCAACAAAGTTGCACCAAAAGTGCGTTAAGTTTTACTGTGGTTCCATCTTTGCCACATTAACAACGGTTTGTTCATCATATTGAACAAGGCAACCATTAATATGCTACGGATTGCCGAACCCTATATTACATGGGGTATCCAAATCTAATATCAGTTCGTGAATTGATTTACAAACGTGGAATTGTCAAGCACAGCCATCAACGTGTCCCAAACTCTAACAATTTTGTAATCGAACGCAAATTGCACAAAGCGCACGATATTCAGTGCGTTGATTATTTGGCGCACGAAATATTCACTGTTGGATCCCACTTCAAGAAAGCCTCGAACTTACTGTGGCCACTACGTTGAGGTTGGTGATTTCGGTAACCGTGAAGATAATATCAACAGACTGCTGCTCAAGATGGTTTAAAGAAATTTTCTGGTGTACACGGTGGAGTATTTTTATTTCAAAAATATATAATAATAAAAATAGAAAATAATTTTTTTTTTTTTTTTTTTAACTTTCTGAAGGTTTAATCCGCAAAAATGCTAAATGGAAGGCAGCTTATATTCACAATTCCTTGAATATTGTCGAAATTCCATTGCCGTTCGTAAAGGCCATTTTAAAAGGCTCCACTCCACAAATTTAATTTGTTTTGGTTTTTCAGCTCATTAACGAAGCCCCAGGATTGCATTTACCGTCTATGAAAATATTTCATGAAGCGTTCCAAAATTAGCTCCGAGCAACTAAAAGTTGGTTAAGCTTAAGTGAAATAGTTTTTCATTAAATATTTATTCCTGGTATTTATTAAAAAAAAAAAATCAGGTCAATTATTAAATAAAGACATAACGGCGTCGGACGTTGGTCCTGACGTATATAGAATAAATGCAATAGAGAGATAATTATAGTTGCGTTCCAGATGCTTCACGATTTGCAGGTTTTTACAGGAAGTCGTTCCAGGTGACCACCTCCCATAAGGTTTATTAATGGAGAAAACAGCTGTTCCTACAAATCGTGAATTTCGTGAATATCGTGAAGCATCTGGAACGCAACTTATACAAGCTCAACGTCCTAATTTAGGTATACTTGCATATGTATGCATTTACCTGTTACTCGCCTGACATATACTTCTCAGAAACTTGACTACAGATTTTCTCCAAAGTGTCGGAGAATGCTATGTACTAGTTCACGAAATTCTTGAATTATCTTATTTTTTAGTTTACTGTCAACCATTTATGAGTTTAATAAAAAAATTTGTCGTATACGCCAAATGTCATAATTTTTTTATAAATTAACGATACTTTTCACTAATCAGCCTAATCGTGAGTTTCGCCCAAAAAAAAAATCGCCAGAAATGTTTTCACCCACCCGTTAATACACGGAAACGAAAAGTGAAAAGGTGGCCCGGTTCGAGAAAATGAAACTCATGATAAGGCTGAATATGTCGGAAACTAGAGTAGATATTTAAAAACAGATGATGCCATTTGAAAGATCTTGATTAGTTTAGTACGACAGCATTACTAACGTAACTTGTACCAAATGATTTTAGTCAATTACTCGGAAACTAAAGAAGATATCCAAAAAACTGTTAACAAAAAAGCGATATATCTTATTTTAAAATATATAGCTGCATATTTAACTAAAAACTGTCAAAATGACGCTTACGGAAGTTTTTCATCCAAGCGACGATATTTGAATGTTACTGGCGTAATTTCGAGCCTGTGTGTAAATTTTCGGGAAAAGGTTAAGAAGTATATTCATATGCTGAAAAGATATTTTCGCAGACTCACGCAGATTTAAAGTAATATTGAATACTTTAATAATTATGAATGTATTTTCCTGTATTTTATTATCCTTTCTATACCCTTTCTATTATTAGAATCAAAATGCATACCATCGTAAATTCGTTCGGGCCTAAAGATCCTAGGCCTGATCTTGTTGAAATTCTAAGGGGTGTTTGGTTTTGTTTTAACGGCTAGGTTATTAGCATTCTGTATGAGTCCTACAATTTTATTGAGCTTGGGGCCGTTTTTTATGAAAAATGTTGTGGAAAAGAAACAGTTATTTACAAATGTAAGAAGTAATATCTGCTATTTGGGAGATCACAACATCTACTAATCACAACCGCGGTCACTGAGGAGAAGTGGTGATATCCGAAATAGCAGCTATAACTTCTACCTTTTATAAATTTTGTTAATTTTCAATAACATTGTTCATAAAAAACGGCTGAATATAATTGTTATAAGGCCATAAATAAAAAATTCTGAATGAATGATAAGGTCAGTCAAACAAACCGAAAGAAAGTCGGAGAGTCTCCTTAAAGTCGATGTTTAAAACATCGCTAAAACTTCCATCGATGTATCGTCAATTTCGCGATTTTAGTAAATTGCAAACATCGATGGCAAACATCGAAAATTGAACCGATATTATCGATGTTTCAAAAACATCGATGCATCGTTTGCATACCTAGCTAGTATCGTTTGATCCTTCGTTTGAGCGTCACTTATATTGGGGTACTTTTGTGGAATATTTGAGGTTCAAGGCCTAAAAAGTTATAAGTGAGTTGTATGCAGAAATTTTCAAACGACTGTAGTGCAAACCTTTCCAAAGATTTAACACGTACACGTATTATTTAAGAAAGTCATATTTGTATATTACTTTATGGCCTCCGATAATTTTCCCTGCATTCTAGCGTGTGTAGCTAAGAAAGCAAGGCAATTTTTCTCTATTGATCTCAATCTGAAATTATAATGGTTTGCTGGAAATATTATCTTTCTAGAAATCCCAAGAATCAATCATCTCGCATTATGTCCGCAAAACGTAAATCTGGTGGAAACGGAGCAGGACCGAACAAGCGTCATTCCAAGAAGCAAAATGATTTTGAAGAAGTTCTAAGTGATGCTTCGAGTGATGAAGGCCAATCTACCTCTAACCAAGTTGAAGTTTTAATACCTAATGATAATCTAGAACCGCCCAGCAAGCTCCCAGAAGAATTACTGACATCTTTTGATAAAACGCCGGGACAAATGCTCATTGCTGGAATGGTCACATGGGATTTGACCGGGAAACGAGATCGGAAAAATGTAGTGAAAGTTCGACCAAATCTATTTAATTTTCACCGATTTACTGATGAAAAGGTGGGTATTTTGGCCTAAAAGATTTTCTGTTTTAAATATATCATATTTCAGTACCGATATTGCGCAAGTGGCCCTAGCTCTGCGCATACGCTTCTTATTAATATGGGTCGTAAGGCAATTGCTTTTGGGCGCAATCCATCAGGTCAGTTGGGCTTGCCTGATGTGAAGATATGTGAACGGCCTACTATGATACCAGGGTTGGAAAAATTTAATATCGTGGAGGTGGCATGTGGTCGTCATCATTCCCTTTTTTTGACTGATACAGGTACTGTTTACGCTTGTGGAGAAAATAAGTCTGGTCAATGTGGTATTGGTAACACTCAGCCAGTAGTAAACATACCAACACCGATAAACTACCGTGGTCCGCCAATTATTCGTATTGGATGCGGCGCGGAATTTTCAGCGATTCTTGATATCAAAGGTAATCTGCACACATTTGGATTACCTGAATATGGTCAGCTGGGTCATAATACAGATGCAAAGTACTTTGTCAACGCCAACAAATTATCCTTCCACTTTGAAACTTCGCCTAAAAAAGTTCTTCTTTACATAGAAAAAAATAAGGAAGGACATGTAACACCTGTGGACAATGTTCAAATTGTGGATTTTGCGTGTGGTAATAATCATACGGTTAGTATTACAAATATAAATGGGAAATGTTTAGTTATTTGTACAACGTTTTTGGGATGGGGGCGTGGACCCCCAAACCCCCTCTGAACGAAAGGGGAAGAAGCGCGCTTTATGAAAAGTCGCCCCTTATACCCTTACCATATATTAGAACGTATCAGAAAAGTAGCATTTACAGTTGTGTTCATATTAATAGCAGTGCGTTCTCTGAGGTAGGAAAACATGACTTCATCCAAAATAAATTAAATAAAACTTTAAAAGGCTCTCGCTGTTTAATGGCATGATTAATGCAAATATAATTAATACAAAAAGTCGTATTATTCTTAGCAATTTCTTCCATCAAAACTAAAAAAATTCACAAGTCAAAAAATTCTGTTCACAAAAATAGCAGTATAAACGAAAGTGATATGGAATTTAACACGACCGCAAAATCTACATCTTTGTGTAAAGTAAAATAAAGATACTGCTAATAATTAGCCGTACAGCCCTTATTCCGAATGACGGCGGCGCATCTACGCTGCATCGAGTCCACTAAACGTCTGCATCTTTCGACTGGGATATTTGCCCATGCAGAGCGTACAACTTCCCACTCGCTTGCTCGTATGTTTCGGATCATTATCCTGTTGGAACACTCATTTCAGCGGCATTCCCTCTTCTGCATATTGCAGCATAACTTCTAGGATTTCAACGTATTTGTGCTGATCTATGATACCATTAATTTTATATATTGGTCCTGTACCGTAATAGGAGAAGCAACCCTATACCATTATTTTTGCTCCTCCATGTTTAACGGTCTTGACGGTGTATTGTGGTTGCCAGCATTTTGCGGCCTTCTTACGTACTGACGCCGACATTTTGAACCAAAAAGGACCACTTTACTCGTCCGTCCACAAAACATTTCCCTATTTTGAGAGTGGCCAATTGACGTGAGTATTTGCAAAGCTTAACCTATTCTTCAAGTGCCGCTTGGTTAAAAGTGGTACCTTTCGTGGACTGTGGGCTTTCAAATTTGACTCCAACAAACGTCTTCGCACTGTCACTGCACTCACATTAAGATTTAGCTTTTCCTTAATCTTTTGTGAACTAATATTTCGCTATCGTCTTACTAAATTACTTATTTTCTGGTCAGTTTTTTCATCTGTCAGTCGTTTTGGACCGCGAGTTTTTGGACCGCGGGACGATTCTTGAATTTTAAGGCATTGGACACCATTTTCGCTGAACAATCTATTACCTTTTGTATTACTTTGTAGGTCTTGTTTTCCTGCCGCAATTTTTTTTTATCAAGGCTCTGGTTTCACTGGTACAATGTTTGGAACGTCCCATATTTCTGTAACCTCAAAGGTTTTATTTATCCTTATTGCTCGAATATGTTAAACTTACCAACAATAATTTGCTTTAAGACAGAAATGGTTTTTGCACGCAAATGATTCCGTTCGCTGGTCAGTTAATTGCAGAACTGCTATTATTATGAAACAGCCAAATTCAATTATTAAAGCGAAATGCGTCCGGCACCAAATGCCACGCTAACTTTGATCAAATTGAAATTCGTACGCATTTACTATACCGTTACCTTAAGCCGAAAACAATTTAAAACGGAATTTCTTTTAAGGTTTGAGCTGAGCGTTACGTTGCCGCATACCACAGCTGGCACTGCTATGAATATGAACACAATTGTACATATGCAAATACATATCGTGTAACAGCGCTCTTAGGGATTATAAACCTCACTAAGTAGAATTCTCCTTTCTGTGTTGCCGAAGAAGAGGGGCTGAACACCTTTTGCAGAGAACAATTTCTGCATAGAAGTCCTTCGGACGCTCTTTGGGATTATAGCCCTCACTAAGTAGAATTATCCTTTCTGTGTTGCCGAAGAGAGTGGTTGAACACCTTTTGACAGGGCAGCTCGGAAATTTGCAAAATTACCATATTTCAAAGGGAAATTATTAATAAATTAGTGCACAGCTATAGTAAATTATTATTTTTTAAATAAAGCGTAGACGCTTGTCTACTAGTGTGTAAAAGTTTTTTTGATTCGGGTCACGCATTTGGGCCCAGCAACCCAAAATCGGTGTACAAATAACTAAACCGTTCCCAAAATAACTGTACATATGGGGTGCATTCCCAAACGTCTAAATAAAAAAAGCATCAGTCTTTTAATTCTGAAGCTCACAACCGCAGTGTTGCGCGAGTTATTAAAGTATCTCGTATTGCAAATTTTGATCAGTACTGCAGTATTACCGCTTTTATTACGTGCTTCGAACAGGCCCTTTTTCTCCTTGCGAGGTTTAGAAATAAAATAAACTGATGCTTTGTATTTTGACATGGAATGCACCCATGTATTCAATTCAGTGCAATGGATTTTGCTAACACGTTTGCTGCTACGTGACCCACAGGTGGTGGCCACGTGCACCACGTTTATGTCACACATTATGACTTGTATTAGTCTGCGTTCAGACACGGAAACTCGTGTTGCTTATTATTGGCGATTTCTCTTTGGAGTCGCCCTTTGCATTCACACACAGCAACTCTTTTGTACGCTATTGTTGTCAGCTGCGAACCTTAGACGAATGAGAGCACAAAGCGTGTTGCTCGAGTACGGGCAACTCGTTCCCACGACAGTCGGGTCTACGTAACCGGAACGACCCAGATTTATATCTGGCCAAGGACTGTCACTCCAGCAACACTCCCCAAAAAGTCTTTGGGGAATTTGTATGCTGCTACAACAACAACAACAACAGTACGGGCAACTGGGTACCCGTCCCCTTTCCTCGTCGCTCTCTCCCCTCCAAGCTACGAGTTGCCGCAACAAAAGTTTCCGTGTGTGAACATCGACTTAAGGTTTTTAAAGTGGTTTGTCACGGCCCGTCTCCACAGGCAAACGTTTTTGCCTACCAACTGTAATTTTTATTGCTTTTATCAGCGGCAATATTTGTGCCGGGCATTTTTTATTTTGACAAAAGCATTTGTAAAATGGCTTCCAAAAATTATTTTTGCCGGACTTAAAAAATTTATAAAATTTGCTATTTCACATTTAAATACACAATAACAAATATTTTAAAAGAAAATAGCTCAATTTTAGGTTTTATATTAAAATATCAATAATGTTGCTGCCACGAAGTTTTCGTGCAAATGCAAATGTATGTCAAACTACCAAGTTGCTGGCAATATTTATCAAGATAAAAGTTGATATAATTATTGCTTGACAAGAGCAAAATGCGGTCTCCATTGGCAAAATATTGCCTGATAACATTATCAAGATAAAAACTTTTGCCTGTGGAGACAGCAAGTTAGTGGAAGTACTTTTTTGCAGACTAGTATATAGTAGATATTATCTACTAGATAAGTCATTTTTTGCTATAGAGAAACTATATAGTCACCTGAAATGCAAAAAGACGTAACAAACATCATCGTTGAAGTGCAATATGTCATAACTAATAAAAAATTTAAAATTCACTTTTTGATTTACAGTATTGGCCAATACAATAGCACCCCCATTTTAAAGAGATATTGTTGCCCTCATGGTTATTTATTTATTTTTAGGAATTCTCAATTAAAATACATTTCATTCTCTAAAAAACCCCATATAAACCCAAGTTTAAAACTTTTTAAAAGACTACAAAATAATGCAACAAATTTTCACCCAAACTTCAAACTTTTTTCTCAGAAGTGCTAGAATTTTTCTGAGTACACAGTTTTATAGTCCATTCAATTCTGGTCTAATAATGTGCAAGTTTCATGTAGATACAGTGTGAAATTTAGATTTTCCATCCCTGGTGCATATGGCTTGGGTATCGCCGAAAGTAGTTAAGCAATGCAAACGCAGTAATTGCGTTTGATTTGCTTTGATTAAGCATCAAAACAAAGCAACATTTGAAGCAAACTTTGAGAAGACAGCTGCGGCTGTCGGCTTCCACTTGTGCATCGACCGCAGTCGCCAGCAGATGGTTTCATTCAGGGTTTGAATTGCTGACTTCAAAATAGCATAAGCAACATTTTTTTGCTTTTTAAAGCAAGCAGCTCTTGATCATTTGCAATTGCTTAGCTACGACTAACACAAATAAATCAGCAAAAGCAGACAGCAATAGCGAAAAAAAAAAATGGAATCATTTGCTTCAGCTTATAGCGCAGTTTCTCTTTGCTTACTTAGTCTACCGAAGCAACCAGTTTAGAAAAATTTGCGTTGCTGCAAGCTGTAAGTTAGGGGTAGTTTTAAGGTTAAGGGGATTTCGGGATATTAAATTGGTAATATCGGGATCCCGGGATATTTCGGGATATTATTACCATTAATTAAAATACTAGTGAACCCGCATGGCGTTAAGACGCCAAAATTGAGTTTAACATTTTGAACAGATGGCAACACTATTCACAAACCTTAATAAATTTTGCAAATGTTTCAAGTAAATTGGTCCATCCTTTTTTGAACGAAGAGAGGTCTGACATGGCGTCGGTTTTTCATTTCCTCAAAATTTAAACTACCGTACATAGCTTAAAAAGGTCGAAACTTCAAAAAATAAAACCTTAATGCACATTTAGAATGATGGTGCTGATTTGATGACCTTCATATTAAAGATCTGATGACCATAACAAAAAAATTATTTATTTATAAAAATTAACTCTAAACTAATTTTTTCGGTATATTATGGGTTTATTCAAAAGAACATATATTCCCATTAGTTATGGAATCCGATTTCATCATGTGACTGTCTTCGCAGTAGCGCATCCTGTTAACCCAGTTCTCCAAGACCTTGTTGATGGTTTCTGGCTCTATCATAAGAAAATGCCGACATACGCCTTAAAGGCCTGAATCGTTAATGGATTGTTCGCATTATATCGGTCCTTCACGGCATGGCACAAAAAAGTCTAATAAGGGCATGAAATCGCGGTTCCGAGGGGGCAAATTGACTTCATCGAGACAGCTGATAACACAATTACCGAACTTTATCGCTCAAAATAAAAATCGAATAGATGGTAACCCTAACAAAAAATATTTTCAAACTAAAGTT